CTGCATTTGAATTTTGAATCTGGCGCCTGAGACCTGACGTCAGCAGCCCCCCGCCCAGAGCTATATAAACGGCCCAGTCTCGTTCACGCCCCCTTTAGTCCTCCAGGCTACGCCCATTTAGAGGAAGATTTGAACAGGAAATGTGAGTGACGTAAGCTCCGAGGAGCGGGGGTGAAAACCACTTTAAAGAAAACTGAAGGATTTAAGAAGAAAAAAAGTTCAGGATGACAAGGGACACTAAAATCCCCAGAAAATCCGAACTTTATGAAAGCTGTGGGTTCTCTATCAGGTTCTCTGTCAGCTGAGGTCGAACTGTTTTAATTTACATTGAGTTCTATGGGACTTTTTCTGGGTAGCCCTCGTGAATTTAGTCTGCAGTACCACAGCGCCCCCTGTGCCCATGGGTGGGACAGCTATAAGCTAGGAAAACACTATCCAGTTATAATTATAGTTCCATGGTTGTGCCACAGGTGCGTTGTATACATGGATCTATTATAATAACTGGATAGGGTATTACTAGCTTGTAGCTCGGGGGATTCTCGTGGTACTGCAAACTAAATTCACGTGGGCTACCCAGAAATTGTCCCATAGAACTCAATGTAAACTAAAACAACTCGACCTCAGCAGACAGAGAACCTACAGCTTTCATAAAGGTCGGATTTTGTTGGGATTTTAGTGTCCCTTGTCATCCTGAACTTTTTTTCTTCTTAAATCCTTCAGTTTTCTTTAAATCCACATTTTACTGCCACAAACTCTACTCGTCTGGCTCTTACTCCCGCTCTAACTCCCACTCTGATCAGCAGCTCTGATTGGTCAGAGCTGCCCCTCTGTGCACGTGCATGACAGGCACGCACGCGTATTTGGCGCAAAGCATCATGGGAGCTCCACTGCGCAGAACCGGGAGGACCAGACGATGCCCAAAAATAGGCGAGTTCCGCTAATCTCTCAGGCTCGTGAAGTCAGTTGATTCACTGTTTTGCCAAAGCCAAATTCAAGCAGGTCGGAGCATGAGTGGGTTCATCATGGCTCCTTGAATACTAACAAACTTTTGGCACAAACTTAATTTTGATATATTTTTTCATTTAGACTGTAATTGTTGCTGTTTGAATAAATAAAAACATCTTAGATCCATGTTGTGTTTTTTTCTGCATTAACAAAAATGCTCCTTGCTTTAGATTAGGGTACTGCAAAATAGTGTAATAAGCAGTTTATTAACGCATATTTTAGTGGCCTATTACCACTATTACCTATTAATAAGCAACTTATTAATATCTTTATAGGCATATTGTTAGTGGCCTATTAACATGGTATCGATAATAGTTTAATAAGCAGCTTATTCATATATTTATAAACATATTCCTCCTTTAATAAGTATCTTACTAATTACTTATTAAATGCTTAAAAGCATATAACTAGAACAACATCATTTAGAGAATAGTGAAATGAGCAGCTTATTAATATGTTTATAAGTACATATACAGTAAGCAATCTATAAGCATGTTTGCTATTGTCCCGACACCGTAATAAAAGCCGTTACCGACCACATTTCTAATTGAAAAGTAGCTATTAATACCTTATTAATACCTTATTACAGCGTGCTTCTCATGCCTGTGTTATACTCCAACTAGACAGATTTAAACTACACTCAACAGATCTGCTCGTACTAACATGACAGTTTTGCCCTTTATTTAAAGTAAAAAAACAGCATAGTGTCTGCAGCTGTATTTTACTGAGTATGGCTTGTGACAGCTGCAGTGGGGGCTCAGAACCTACAACAAGGGATGCCCGAGGGTGATTTAAAATGTGTAAAAAGTAGTGTTGCGTCTGGGCGCTTTTACCACATAAAACATCATCAGCTGGGCCTTCTTCGACAACATGCTTGACCAATTTCGCGTAGCATCCAACTCATATCTGTCTCACAATAGCAGCAGTGTGAGAGTCTGATTTCCTCATTTGTTCACTTCCCAAATCTTGGAAAAAACTATTGAACTTTAGATTCACATTCTCTACTGCCTCATACATAATCCTGAGACCAACCAGTTTGACCCATTGCGAGAACTAAATAAACAGCTCTATAGTGCATATCAGCAATAAATGATATTTTCAGCTACACCATGCACTATATGTAACCTCCTTTAAAAGCTTATATTTACAGCGCACATGACATACTGTAAAAGGACAACAGCTTCATTATGTCACTGTTATCGCTACCGTATCAAGTTCCGGCCGAATCCTGCCTCACCATTCTGACCTTTCTTTTGAAATACCACGACGGACGTTTTGATTGGCTCACCAGGTTCTAGTGATCTCACACTGCGGAATTGAGGACTGTCATAATTCACAGAAACGAGCTGCTGCCTATGTACACAGACACTTCTGTTTGAGGGAGGAGAATGAAGCTGGCCACCGTAGAGCTTTAAAACGAGAGATGGTCATAATACACAAGACTGTGTTTTTACTAAACGCACACGTACATACAGGCACAACATACAAGGTGGTAATCTAACAGGCAGGGGTCAAGGAACTTGCGAGGAGACTGGGAAATGCTTAATATTCCATACAAAATTTAAAATCAGGTGATCGAGATCTGGCCATTTCTGTCTCTGAAGCGGAACAGAAAGGGGAACAGATAATACATGAGGCATCATTAGTTATACACTTCTCTTATAGATTATTGATTGAAACTAGTTATCCACTCCACTTCCATGCCATACCATTTTTCAACACCTTTAATCCGTTTCTAGTCAGTGGGTGGTGTGAGCATCAGATATGCCACGCTAAGTCTCATAGCACCAGCAGTGCCACTCAGTGTTGTCACATATTATTCATAATCAATGTTAATATCATAACTTATAAATTCACATCGGGAGCAGAGTCACGCCTATCGCCCCGCCGTTCTATTTAGATGGCCATAAAATGTGCTGTCTTACTGTGCAGATCCAAAAATGGTCCGCGAGTGGTCATGCCCACAAAAAAAATGTTTTAAAAAAACGCATCTATGCGCATGGCGGTCACTCTGGCGAGACTTCCATTCATTGAACGAGAGACATATATATATAATCACAGCCAGAGAGAGCAAGTAAACTGAGGAGTTTGAACCAAAATAATTCACGCACCCCCAGCAGTGAACAAAACAGTGGAACGAGCCTTTGGGCCGAAGAGCTAGGCTTTTTGACCAATCCATAAAGATCGTTCTTTCGATAGGTCTAGAACAACGCAAATGTTTGCATTGGCTATCTGTCATTCTTCATGGGATCCACCCACATCGGCCCGGTGATATCTGCATTGAGCATGTCATGCGGCACCAGCATTTTGTCCACTTTTTGATGCCGGGACCCGCCCCCCACATTGGTTAATAATGACGTTTTAACGCATATCAACACTGGTCATCCTTGAGCGAGTATTGAATACTTAATATATTGCCCATACACTAGTACATAATATTATAAATTTTCTTGAACATATGTTTGGAGCAGCGCATTTATAATAATGGCTCTGTGTTAATGTGAACTTGAATTTGAGTAATTCTATGCGATCACAAAGGGAGTTTGAAGGGTCAATATTGTGAACAGCTATTTTGTTTTGAGAACCACTTTATTCAAACGATGTACTGGTAGATGGTCCCTTTGCATTTTACCCATCTTGACAAAGCCACTTGGTCAGGCACACGCGTTCCCATCCCACAAGTGCAGTTCACTCAATTGTTGATGTCACCTTGGTAAGACTACTCTTTGGAGCTGAAGGATTCTGTATCTATTGTAGCAGTATCAGTTTGGTTTTAAATGGGTAGGTGGAAAGGCACTGAACGGGATTTGAACCCAGACTCTAATAGAGATGGTGTTCAGCTAACTTAGAAGACAATCGGCAGGTTTTCATATGATATTGGTGGTAGTGGATCTAGGCGCAGGAAAGGCTCTAGGAAGCAATGGGCATTCTGGGTGCAGCAGGGATACTCGGGAAACAAACCATCGAATTTTAACCTGTTTTCATGCACTTTTTGGGTAAACCAAAATTTAACTATTATTGGGAAGTAACTACATGGAATATGTGCTTACCATCCGGACAGAAGGGGCCAATGATAAATCTGCAAAACCATCGGCAGATCGTTAAGAGGTCTGTATTTAAAAAATAGTATAGCACATTTTCTGTGTAAGATTTTAACATATGATTACAGTTATGCGACGTTTGAGGAGAAAAACAAACAAAAACGGAGAGGGTGTGTGTGCGACACAAAGACCAATTTATGCAGGAATATGAATTGAGGTGTTTTCTAACATCATCCTCCATGTATTTACTCCTTCGGTTAACACCAGGGGTTCAACCTTCTTCACACATAGATCTTTTAATTAGGATAAAAGAAATGGCCGAGTGTTACTCACCTTCATAGTGGTCCTAATGAAATGTAGTCATTGCAGTAGAATATGCCTTGATTGCGATAATGGGTATGGTACACAACGCTTTAAATACACAATAATGCATCTCAAAGCGCTTTACATGTGTGCATATATTCATGTCACTGTCCATACACAGTGGTGATAAACTACTACTGAACCACAGCTGCCTGGGCACACTGACAAGACAGCGAGGCAAACCAGTCTATGTTGCCCCATCTCGACCCTCTGTACCGACCACCATGTCCACACACAAGTCAGAGACTCCATTTACTAGTCAAGGATGTTAAAGTATCTTCATCTAAGGACTCAAACACAGTTTTGCACTTTACAACCGCCAGCACGCGAGCCCCACCGTCTTTTGAACGACCTAGCCTTGTGTGTGGTCTGATTTGTTCACAACAGTGTTTATGATACTTTCCTTAGTGTACGACCTAACTTAAACTGTAACCTGTCCACCTGTTATAATTGTTCCAGCACATTTTATCACCCTCAGTGTCAGCGCTGAATTTTATGTATTTTGGCGGTCAAGAGCCATGCGGTAAAGAGTGATAAAACCTGGTGGGGGTTGCGACATGAATTGCCAGGCTGGCGTAGTTTTGCGAAGTGTTAGTTGCTGCCGTGACAGAGGGAGTCGACGCTCTGGCGAAAGGCGTTGTTTCCACAGCACCCTCCTACTTAAACGCAGTCTCTGACCATTGACAATCGGATTTAGTCAATCAAATAGCACTTGTATGACCTAGACTACATGATGAACTTTGGCCACCGTGTCACACAACAGAATATCTGAATATCTTTTTCTCGCGAAGACTCATTGAAGAGTGGTGGTATGAGAGATCCATGGTGGGAGGTGGACTACCATATGCTGTGCTTGAACCGAAATAATTGACCCAGGTTCAGATCTGACCAGTAAGTAATTAGTAAGAAAGTAATCTCTTATTTATATACCGGCTGGGGCCAGTTTCACTGCAGTGGAGCTTTAGTCCTCAAAGCGTCTTTACAATTGCGTTAATTTTTTGGGCAGTTTGTCACTCTCACTTCCACACAGAATGGAGCCGGTCGCCAGTACAGGAGTGCACATGCTGAAAACTAGTGGACATCTTTTTTTACACAGTGGTAGGGGACAACCGGAGTAACCGGAGTAAACGCCTGCGGCAGACTTCGGGGAAGAACATGCAAACGCCACACAGAAAGGGCCCTGGTCCACCCGGGATTCGAACCCAGGACCGTCTGCTGATAGGCGATCATTGCTATCCACTCATGACCGATGCCGTGGCCGACAGGGTGTTCGTTTCTTTCTGGACTCTAAGGCGCACCAAATACATTTTTTTATGAAATCAATTTTGTCCACTTATAGGCCTAAATTGAATACAAGCCGCAGGTTTTCATGTGTAATGTAGCAAATAGACAACTGTTTGAACTGGTCACAACATGATTTTATGACCTAGTGTTTATAGCTGAACCGTTAGCTTACATAACTTATTCACAAGTCTATTCTGACAATAAACGAGTGTCCTATAATAAGTCCATAAAATATGTTCTGACAACTCCACCACAGTAAAAATGCACATATTTGCTGCATGACATTATCAGCTGCAGGAAATTACAGTACTTATTTTTCAACCTTTTACTTACTAATTTTACACCCAAATATTTGTACTTTCTACTCATTACATATCAGAAGAGGTACTTTGAAAACGACAAGGCAACCTAAAAAATATCAAATATTCTAAATGATGGGGTTAGCCATGCTTCTAAGTTCATTAAGACATTGTGCCTAGCAATGCTTCTAAGTTCATCAATTCATTGTGATTAGGCAAGCTTCTAAATTGATTCATCTATTGTGGTTAGCCAGGCTTCTAAGTTATTCATGTATTGTAGTTAGACATACAGTACTAACATGAAAGACTGTGACAAACGGTGTACTTTATTGGCAATTATTTTATTTAGTTACCTTCAAATGTACATTACTGGTGTAGAATAAGAGAATGGTTTAAAGCTTGAATGCATAGAGTTCAGACGTCAGCACTTTGACACTGCTGGTCTTACAGAAATATTTGAGTTTATAGCTGAACTATTTTACCCTCTGCAGTCGTTTATGGAAGGAAACGGGTTAAATTGTCGGACCAGAGGCTGTGAAATTGTTTCATAAGTGTTTTTACCTTGTAGAGAGCGTTGACCTTTTCCTGGCATTTGATGTAGTCTTCATAGTCAGCAAACACTTTAAACCTGGGAAGATACAGTCATCTCACTGATTGCAAGCATATTGTGCGTGTGTGTGTGTGTGTGTGTGCGTGTGTGGTTTTGTTTGCTCTTTCACATGATGCCATCAATACTCCTGAAGATAACTCAAGTTAGACTTTAATCTAAGCTTTGTTTTAACACTCAATATTATCATACATAATTGATCATACAGGAAAACAAGACAAATTTCCTACGGGACATAATAAATTAATCTTTAATCTTTAATTTTGAAGTACAACAGATCTGATGGGTGCATTTGTTCTCAAGCAAACCTATGTAATATTGATAATAGGATCTGTTATCTAAATCCATTCCCTCTTACACTCACAGAGCATCTAAAAACAATCCATAGCCATGTTTCCTAATTTGTCCCGATCTCCTGTCTCTCCAAAAGTCTCGCAGAAGGCCAAAGGATTTTGTTCTACACATGCAGCAGTGTTGGTGGGAGTGTGTGCATGCCTGGAGCCTCCATGTTGCGTCTGCTGTTACCTGTCGTGGTGCATCAGCATGTTTACTATCTCCTTAAACAGGTCCGGCTGCTTTGGGCTGAAGAAGCCTCCAGCGATCTGGTCAATGGCCTGCTTCAGCTCAGGCAGGCGGTTGTAGTACTCATCTGCACGGTATCTGGGATTAAATAACCACGCACACACAAACACACACACATGCACGCACACACACACACACCTTTAGGAAACACATCGTTGCCATGGTGACCGTCCATTCACAAAGGCGCTGTCCACACAAATGGACTCTCAATGCCACACCTTGCAGAGCTGGGAATCTCAGCGTGTTGCTCTTGGTTTGTAGTGTGCACTTGACAACAGCGAGGTTCAGGAATGTGGGCATGCTTTTTGTGTATAATGCAGCAGGACAACGCAAGACTGATGCATGGGCTATAGTCCAACATAAATCACCGCAGGAGCCAAACAAATCACATGTACACTTGAGAAAAGGTCAGAAGATCACTTCAGGGAATCAACTTGCTTTTCTGTGTTGAGCGTATGCTAATAGCTTGGCACTACCGACGTTGAAAATGTCACAAAGACCATTGATTGATTGTGAAATTGCATCTATTTTATCTATGTGCCCAGATATAATATAAAGTGGTACAAATAATATGTGACATTTTATCATCACAATGTTAATCATGATATGAACAAGTAAGTGAAGCACCGTGAACATTTAAATGGTACAAACTATGTTTCTGCGTTTGCCAGGTCATGTCAAATATCTATTTTTATATCTTGACATATCTTTATGTAATTTTTATGCTACTTAAAGGTGCACTTTAAGGGTGCACTTTATTTATCCCCGTAGGGAAATTCATAGGGATGATATACAGTATGTCCCCTAAGTAACCCCTCACCCCTTCTTATCCATGGCATCCACATCGTCCACCCGCATGCCGAAGATAAACAGGTTGCTCTCTCCCGCCTCCTCCGCCATCTCCACGTTGGCTCCGTCCATGGTGCCGATGGTCAGGGCACCGTTCAGCATGAACTTCATGTTTCCGGTGCCTGAGGCTTCCGTGCCCGCTGTGGAGATCTGCTCTGACAGGTCTGATGCAGGGATGGCTGTGAGTGCAGGGAAACACAGGCTAAATGACTGAAGTACACCATCCCAGAGCACTTGTCATGAAAGCTTTAAGGAAATGTGGGGGCTGGGGACATCTAAGAAGAAGAGAACACCTGAATGTTGAATTATGAAATACTCTACACACTAAATAATACAAGGATGTAAAAAGATGTGCTGGGGCCTATTGAAGCAGGATACGGGAAGTTTTAGTCAAATACATTTTGACAAAAAACTATTATTGGTGAAGGCCTGACAGAGTGTATTATTCAGATGACAGTGACGTCATTAGTTACGCAGGTCCCAAAACGAAGCAATGAAAATAACTACTAAAGCTAAATGTGACCAACTCACACACACATTCATATATGCGTTATGTGTGTGTTTGCTTGGTGTATTCATTTGCTCTTGTAACAGTAGATGTGTAATAAGTAACTTAAAGCAAATGCATAGAGATACAGTAAACGCTGGATTACCCCTCTCTGCAAGAGTAACTTTGTAGTTCTCCAGGAAGATGACTTTGAGGCGGTCTCCTACCACTGGGTCATTGTTGACTATTTCACCAATGGCTGTAATCAGGCGGATGATCATTTTGGCCGTGTGGTATCCAGGAGCAGCCTGCAGTAACAATGACAACATGTCTCAATAATACAATACAATCATTCTCAACAGCAATAAGGATGGAATCAAGTAGGTGATGCTATCAGGGTTCGAGATGTGGATGTGGATGAATGAGTGTGTGATCAGAAGTTCTTCCTGTTGTCTATCACCCATCTAGGAGGCAATGGTTTACGGCTATAGATTGATAGACAATAGCAGTAGGTTGAAGGATGTGAGTGTCAAAGCAATGCTAAGTCGATGGCTGCAAGTATCACACCAAACACCTACATCGTCCTTTTTCTTTATTGTAAAATGTATTTGATGTTTGGAAAGCATTTTACTTCCACCTTCCACAGAGAGAGTCACAAAGCGCTTTACATTGTGATCATTTTTCCTCTCACTTCAATAATGAGCGAGGTTGCCATACAGGAAGTGCATGCAGGACCTATTGTGTATGTTTTTTTGTGGTAGGGGGAAACCAAATACTTACAACAACAAAAAACCTACACAGAGACAGGGAGAGCATGCAAACCACTAAAGCACAGTGCCACCCACTTAAACAGCATTCCCACCTCCATCATACTGTATATGCACACCAAATAGAGTATAGATTCACAAACCTTTCCTCCAATCATAACTGTCCTTGGAGTCCACTGCTTGTTGGGTTCCTTCTTGATGCCTGCAGTTGAAACGGTTAGTTGTTATGGCTAATGTGACGGGGTTTGGTTGTGGCCCTGTGTCTTACGGTTGTAGTAGGTGATGATGTGCAGACAGTTGAGGAGCTGGCGTTTGTACTCATGGATCCTCTTCACCTGGACGTCAAACATGGAGTTGGGGTTGATTTTCACCTTGTAGTGCTCTTCCAAATGTACCGCAAACTTCAACTTGTTCTCCTGAAAAAAAAAAAAAACAGCAGCCCGGTTTTGAGATTGTTGCATAAATGACGGATGTGAATTATTTATTTGTGCCTGATGTTATGGACCAGGTAGATTTGTAAGGCTGACATTGATTACACAATATATTACATTGCATCGATTAATAAACTAAAAGTATGGTGCGTTTAGATTGTAAAAACTCTCAGAACTATCTTTGTATCTTTCTTTATGGGGTCATAAAAACAAAAGGTTGTTTCGCAGAACCATCAATACATAAGATGCTATAAAGATGTCGGCATATGGCCAGTAAGAAAAACAAGATACAGTGCTATATGGTCCCATTTCACAAACACATTGCATGCTCCAAATGCTGAGGTCCAAAGTAAGAAAACTATAGCCTTCTTCAGATCATGTTTTGTCTTGTACCTTTGGACCACGGTATGCAATGTTGAAATGCAGACTCCCTTGAGATCTGGGAATAGCTACCTAGTTTAATCTGGAATCATTTATGTTTGTGTTGTTGTGGCTTTGTTAGTCCATGTTTAAGTCAGACTCTGGCTTCCCGAACCAGCCAGGCTTGTACAAGACAGAATATTGTATTTTGTAAAAGCGAGACTTACAGAAACGTCATGAAATAGATTATATATTAAGAATCTACATTTTCAGTGCAAAATGCTTTCCTGTTAAAGAAGTAGAGTTTACACCTCATTTTGAGACAGAGTTTACACCTCATCCAGAAGGTGCCAACTCCCCTTGCACACTTCCACACTTCCACACAGCATACATTCATACACCAAGAGCTGGAGTCTTATAATATATTCTGGTTTAACAGTCTGATTGTGGGGGTGGAGTTGGGGGCTGGTTTGGGAAGCAGGCTCCGACTAAAACATGCACTGGCAAAACCACAAGAACACAACAATAAATAAAGCCAGATTATACTAATTAGTTATTCCCAGATCTCAGGGGGACTCGGCATTTCAGATCAGAGTCTGGAATAGTCTCCTAGAAGTATTCAAGTCCCGATTGAAGGCATTTATTTTTGCAGTGCTTAGGACAGCTTTCCACGCACACACACTCACGCACATGCACATGCACACACACACACACACACACACACACACACACACACACACACACACACACACACACACACACACACACACACACACACACCACACTATTGTTGATTAGTTGACATTTATTTTTTTCCAGGAATGTTGAGAGTTTCTTTTTCAGGGGAGGCCCCAGAGAGGGGAGCTATTGTATATGTTTTAGTGGTAGGAGCCCCTATGCAGACATGGAGAGAAGATGCAAACTCCACTCAGAAAGACCCTGTCTGGAGGTGGAGTCGAACTTCTGGCTTAGAAGCGTGCCAACCACTCCGTGCCAACCACTCCGTGCCAACTACGGTAAGTTCCCTACTGTGCAACAAAAAAAAGTATGATTCATTTTCATCTGTTCAGATAATTTTGATTGAATTACTCACACAATATGTCCTCAATGAACATGTGATAAACTCATAAATATGTAGTAGTATTATTTCTTCATCATGAGAAATCATAGTGGAATTTATATTGAATACTTCAGAATGTACCCAGGTTTTAAGGATAAATATGTACAAATCTGGCCAAGGTTGCCAGATATGCAGACGAAACCAGCTGGGACCATAATAGCTGAATAGACTTTTGAGTTTTGTCAACAACAAATCTATAACCACCACCTCTTTCACAAAAGCCCCGATAGAAATCCTCGTTTTATTCCTTGTTTTGTCATTAATGATTTGAGAATCACAACGAGACCTTTTTTAGTCCAGCGGCCAAATGTTATTTTACCAGTGAGATTAGCTCGATGCGGTGGGTTCTGGCAACCCGGATCAAAGACTTTGTGATTGGTAAAACAGTGAAGGGCGGGACATCGGAATTAAAACAATAACAAGATTAATGGGCTATAAATCCAATTCTGTAATTAGAATTTGCCGATTTAACTACTTTTATAATTTGAAGTATACAAAAAGAGAATGGTTTATCAATGCTCTTTGACATACTTTATCAATTTAACAATGATTTGACATGCAAATCTTACATATTGCTACTTTAATAGCTTCTTAATCTGTTGAATTCCAGTTACAGTTTTTAACAGTAAACCATTCACAGCTTCAAGAAACAGCATGATAACATACTGTACTTACAAATGTAACTGTCATATTGTGTTTTCATAGAATTCTTGCAGTTAAAATGTCTCCTCTGCCTGACTTTATCTCCATGACATCAGCAACCCCTCTCATCTCTTGCACTCCTCACTCCCATAGAAATGCTTTAGCATAGACTGAATAATACAGGAAATATACAGTGCCGCTTAGTCCATTACGTCATAATCTGTGTAGGTTACAAACGCAGACGGCTTTCTGCGAGAAGTAGTGTGCTATGGTTTTAAGCTGTTAACAGGATTTGCATAACAAGTCACAACAGAGAAGAATACTTTACCATGTGATTGCTGACATTTTAGGGGCATAATGTGTGGATTATGCAGGAATAATGTAGACAGACCTCACTCATTGTCACTCAATCCTACCCAATCCACACTGTCTTTTAAAGAAACCTTGTTAATTAAGTCATTTGGTGATTGTAACCAATAATTTGTGAAAATTGAATACATGAAAAGAGATTCACCTGCTTGACTTTAGCTACGTCCCGGATGAAAGCTTCATCGTCCACAAATTTACGGAGTTCTTTCAGCTTGTCAAGGTCACGGATAAATTCCTCTCCAATTCTCTGAAAAAAACATATCCATAAGTATCTTTGAATAATTTAAAAAGTCTTACATTGGATTGACATATTGAAAAGCAATAGACTTAGGCAGTGGCATACCTAACATTGAAACCATAAAATGATAAGAATAAATACATATTTACATATATTATATACTGTACGTAAAGTAGAGTAGTAGATTTTATAGTATCCTCTCTTGTCAAAGTTTAATAATGCTGTGTGTACTTTTATTGGTCTTTACTTTATTTTTACTGCAAGAAAACTTTGTACCTCTGCAATGACCTCAGCCAGTCCAGGGTTGCACATGACCAGCCAGCGTCGAGGTGTGATGCCATTAGTCTTATTCTGGAACTTGTGTGGCTCCATTTCATAAAAGTCCTTAAAACTGTGGACATACAGTATACACACGCACACACACACACACACACACACACATGTATAAGTGATGCTGCTGCACATTTGTGACATTGTGCGGTCAGTGCTGGAGCTGAGGGCCACACAGCGCACATACACAGTGGCTTTGAGGATGTCGGAGTGAATCTGGGCCACTCCGTTGACGGCATGCGCGCCCACGATGCACAGATGCGCCATGTTGATCTTCTTCTGCGCGCCCTCCTCGATGAGTGACATGCGCCGCAGACGGTCTGCGTCTCCAGGAAAATGTGCAGCAACTCTCTGAAGGAAGACAGCACTTGTTAATACTTGTGGAGTCATGGTAACATTTTGATGAACGTGTCCATATTATTGCTGTTGTGTTGATTTTGTAAATGTATTGATATGTGATACTGATTATATTTGAGGTTACAGTGAAAGTTTTAGGACTGAGCAAACTGGGAATATTGTTTTACTGATTATGTTGTGCAGGACTTAATTATTGATTTTATTGGTCAATTTGGAAACTGTTTATCAATTTGTCACATAACTATAGAGGGTTGGATATGGGAAATAAATATGTCCTTTACTCAGTACCAATGTGTAAATAAGTAATCTTTACTTATATACCGCCTTTCAGAGATCAGAATCACAAGCCGGTGTCCAATTGTGGGCATTTGTCTCTCACTCCACACAGAGATGGGAGTAAGGTATGGTAAGGTATGGTAAGGTAAGGAAGTAAATAAAAAATAAAAGATACAAATATACAAAGGGATGATTGATATATGCTTCTACTTGCTATTGGTGTTATCAATATTCGTTTTTGATTCATATCTGACTTTTGACAACTGTATTTAACACAGTTTACCAGCCTTTTTTGGATCTAACTTCATTTAGTAATAAACAAGTTAACACCTGTGATTGAAAATATTATCAAATGAGCTTTGTTTATGACTGTTGGTCTGGTTCCAGCGATGTTGAATAATTTATGGACCCTGTTTTGGTAGATGCAGGGTGATGCAATGTGCCTGTTGTTTATAAGTCACAGAGTATAAGACATCCACTTTGCCCACGGTGTAGGCGTGGCTGCTGTTCATATTACTTCACTCTGCAATTATAATCCAATAAACATCGTTCAATTTACTTTTACTGCATCTCGCCATCTCCGTGCCAAAGTGTTGTGGTATGTGTCCAATTTCAATACCCTCTGGTGTTGATTTCTATAGCAACCAGTTAACAACGGTGGCATCATGCTGAGCTCATCATTTCCTGTATACGTTGAAAGCTATAATTATCATTATCCACTGCCCTATTTGTACTATTACTCTCCAAACACCACTATAAATCAGTGTATGCACATCAGGCTCAGCAAGGGATCCATGGAGATAAAAGGACTCTTGTTAGTGTTGCAGTGCCCGGTTCTGACCTCCAGATGGCGCCGGTTGATCTCATACACTATCTCGAGGTGACGCGGCAGCAGATGAGAGAACAGCTCCACGGGCCACCGCTCCAGGGCCTCCGGGAGAACCGTGTGGTTGGTGTATGCGCAGGTGCGAACAGTGATGTCCCAGGCCTGGAAACACACGCACATCTCAGCCCTGTGTCCAGTCTGCAGACCAGGGCAACGCGGCAGTCCACAAGTAAACGCACTTTGGCTGTCTACTTTACTTTTCTATGCTTTCTTGCTTTCTAACTTGATTTAGTTTCATAATAGCATACGTAGATTGTATCAGATGTGGGTTAAAAATAATACCTGCTGGTGAATATATTTAATGTTGCAGACAAGTTAGTCAATTACATAACTCCATGATTACAGGGAGTTATACATCCACGAGTAAATCCGGGACCCGTTATACAGTAATGACGTCACACATCGGGCCAATTACAAATATTTAAAGTTAAGATTTTATGTCTCAAATATGACATTATTTAATGTGTCATTGCAGGAGTTATATGCCCTAGTGCACAGCAAGAAAGCCATGTGATTTGAACCATGTGATTTCATAAGGTAATAATTGGAAAATTGATGTAACACATTTGATGCAACAACAATAAGAATTTACATGGATAATTCTATACTGCAACCATAGACTGAATGTCAATACAGTCGACAAGTGCCGCGAATTAGCTTTTAGCACCATGACTGTAAGGATCATGATGCACGTATCAGACTTTCAGACTACTGTACAACAGCTTCATCAAAATTCAGTACTCCCTTCTCTAGGTGTCAAAGCTCATTCAATACTTGTGTTGCTGAGGCATGGTAACTATCTAACACCAAAAGACAAACAGAGGATGTGCATAATGAGACGAATACCCGGTTATTTCTTCATATTGACTCATGCACAATGTGAATTTTTAATGACTGCGCTTTACCTGGTCCCAGGCCAGCTTCTCCTCATCCACTAAGACTCTCATTAGCTCTGGAATAGCCATCGCTGGGTGCGTGTCATTGAGCTGGATGGCAACCTGAATATGCAAGAGAAAAATATGCTCATTAAATGTCAGCTCTGTATTTGCATATGTCAGGAAAAAAGCTTTGTTTATGCACTTCATTCAACAGCTTTTAGCAGACACAAAAGGAACCCTGCCTATATAAGAGCAAGTAATTTACCAAAGGCACACTGAGAACTTGAGAGGAAATCATTTCATTTGTGACACATAGTATTTGGTCTTTTTCCCCCATCCAGCCTCACCTTGTCTGGCAGTTTGCTGAAGTCGGTGCGAACAATTTCCCTCGAGCCGAACTTGGAGACCTTGAAGCGGCGAATAATGTCTTGGAGGGTAGCGGAAACCACAAAGTACTCCTGCTTGAGACGGAGCTCCTTCCCCTCAAAGAACTGACAAGAAAAAGGCACAATTCTGTACTTAAATGTAACTAAAAGATTTTTGTCCTTAAAATTAATGGTGCATGTGTCTGCCTTTCACCCAGAGATGAATGAAGCAGCCACACAAGTGAGACATGTCTCCAGGTAAATCTCCAACTATAATTATCTTTTCGATATCATTGTCAAACATCAGAACGTCGCTCTTCTTTCAGACAGTTATTATTTCAGGCTTTGGGGGGCTAAAGAGCGCTTTCATCTTTTTACTTCATTTTCTTTGGATGTTCTAGTTAATTTTGATAACAGCGTTGCTTTAATTTGGACAGTAAATGATTTGAGAAAAGGCAAAATTCGTGGTCTTCTATAAAAGCATTGGGGGAAGCAGCAAGATTTGTTCTTAGATTTAATCAGAAACAGATATGATTTTTAAAGATGTTTCTTTTGCATAATCATTCTTAATCATTCTTCTTCAAAAACGATAGGGAGAAATGTAGAGAGATTTGATATGTATAGTATTAACAGAATGTTACTATGTGAAGTTACTTTAATGTAGGAATACAATAGTTTTATTGAAGATACAATGTTGAATAATTAATCTAATAATTTTATCTTCATATTGTCAATATTTTTAAGCTGCAACTTTACACCAAGTGACTCGCACCATGTGTTGTTGGTGGACCCATACATAGGGATATGGAAAGTGTTTAATTTACAACCGAGGCGATCATTCCATGCTTAGTTTCCTGTCATACCCGCAGGATACGCCACGTTACGGAACAAATCAGAATCAGTCCTATTGATATCGGTGCGTAGTAATTATGCTTGTTTTATTTGCGTATTTCACTACTGATGAAAATTGTCAGCCTCATTATAATGAAAAGCTATTCTTGGCTATAACTTGAGCATATACCATACTTATGAAGCTTAAGCCAAAATTCAGACTGGAAGACTACATGTTGATCTCACTGCTGGGGTCAATGCGCTAATCAATATATCTTTCTAAAATGCATTTTGGGTCTGTTCTAGTCTCTCCAGATTGAAATACCTTTTCCCGCAGAAGATGCTCTGAAGACAATTGATTGAAATTTGGGAGTAAAAAGAATGTTTCTAATATTATTTGTGAAATTGATTAACTCTAGGCTGGACCAATTTAATTGCACAAAACAGCCAAAGTAGTATATATTTCTACACACGCACCAAAAAACATGCTGAGTGCATGTTCGAAGGATTCTGTGGTATAAAATGGGTTTTTAGTGTTGCTAGAAGAACGTCCCGATTGAGCAGACATATGACGGAGCAGAAATAGACTCCAGACTCCAGTGGAGAAACAGATTAGTGAGTGAAGTGAACCTCCACTGCGCTGCGTCGGCCGCTCGGGGCGGCCCACACCTAAATTATGAGCAGTGACTTGAGCTAAAGCTCTGGTTAGATGGTTATCACCCAAATCCTCCTTTTCTGGCCCTGAGGGAACAAGTCCACAGTGGTCGGATAGAACCCTGTGCTTCAGAGCAGGAGAAATCCTCTACAGTGGGGAAAAAGTATTTAGTCAGCCACCAAATGTGTAAGACCTCCAACTTCAAATGATGAGGGATGCCTGTCATTTTCCTCATAGGTCTACCTAAACTATGAACAACAAAATAAAGAAAATCTATAAATTCACAGAATTTATTTGCAAATTGTGGTGGAAAACAAGTATTTAGTCAATAAGAAAATAGTAATATCATCACCATGTCAATATTTTGCAATGCCAGAGGTCAAACATTTTATGTATGTCTTTTTCACATGCTTTTGTTGGTGTTTTGGCCCATTCCTCAGTCTCGTCTAGAGCAGTGATGTTTTGGGGCTGTCGCTGGGCAACACAGACTTTCAATTCCCTACCAAGATTTTTTAGGGGTTTCAATCTAGAGATGGGCTAGGCTACAGGACCTTGACATTTTTCTTATTAAACCACTTCTTCGTTGCTCGGGCAGGGTGTTTGGAATCATTGTCATGATGTGACACTCGGCCACGTTTCATCTTTGTGCCCTTGCTGATGGAAGGAGGTTTTTACTCAAAATCCCACGAAACATGATCCCATTCATGTTTGCCTTTACACATGCAGTATAAATTGTCCTGGTCGCTTTGCAGAAAAAAACAGCCCCAAAAGCCTTATGTTTCCACCCTCATTCTTCACAGTATGTATGGAGGAATGGACCAAAATACCAGCAACTGTGCTATAACGCTGTGAATATTTACAGAATACGTCTGACCCCATGTCATTGACAACCAAAAGTATATAGCAAAATATTGAGATGGACTGTCATTAGTGACTAAATACTTATCCATAATTTGCAGATACATTTTATTTTTGAGATTTTTATTACTCATCATCTCCCTCATACTGTATAGTTGAGGAATATCTATGGTGAAAATTATAGGCATCTCTCATCTTTTTAATTGCGAGGAATACTCTTTTGCCCCACTGCATTTCTTATTGGAAAGAAAAGAGCTGCAACCACAACTGAACACTTAATGCAGCACGGTTATTTCATAGCAATGATAATTTTCGTACACTTGCCAACTAATGTGGAGCGCAGTACAGCTTAGAGCGATGCATTGTGTGAATTTTAATATCGTCCACGGCATTCACATCCAGCTGTTTCCTTGAAGCTGAGGTCAACGCTGCACGCCCACTTGCCTTTCTATACAGTACCAAAAGTAGAGTTATAGTCATTATTTCTTACATTGTCATTTGGATAAAGCACACGGGAGATGTTCTCAGCCAGGTTCCTGTCCAACACGGCCTGAATGTAGCCACCCACATTGACTGAAAGATTAAAACACAATGTACAGAAATAATGAGGAGAAAACTGTAAGGCAGAGCATATAGGATTATGGGTGCTTGGGGACATGAATGCCATACATACAGTCTTTAAGGTTGAAATCGCAGGGAGCCTTGGCAGACCACAATCTCATAGTGTTGACGATGTTGTTGCGATATCCAGGGACTGGTGTGTCATAGGGCAGCGCCAAAACCACCTGATTAAAGAAGACTTGTGCTTATTTTATGTGGAAAAACAGGACAATACGTACAAACAACCTGCACAGTGAAAACGTTATCAAACTATTGATAATGGACGAGATCCATTAGGGTGTGTACCGGTAGTTGTCTTTATTTGAGTTTTTATTTTATTTCAATTAATTTATAAATAACAAAAATGATAAAGCAAAAATTTAATATAAAGTATGTATGTTAATGAAGGGGCACTTATTTTAATTCCAACCCCCTAATTACCATTTTATCGGTCATTGTTTCGTTTAAAAAAAAATACAGACCATTCAAAAGGCTGTCCATGATCACACTATCGCTGCTTTTTTATTTTTTATTTTACAATTGCCCTTAGCAACACGAAAAAATAATATTTCTATAAAAGTGTCTTTGCATGTCTCAAAAATGCGCTTTATGAGCACAATGCCTTTTATATAATAATCTTTAACAGAAAGGATTTCAGTCTTATTTAGAAATCCTTTTCCAGATTACGCCTTTGTGCTCAAGAACCTTTCAGACCTTTTATCTTAACCGAAGGGATTTAACTCAAAATATAAATTGAGACAAAGCGAAGAGATTTAAAATGACCTTTATTCTAGCTAAATCCCAATGGTATAAAACATGTGTCTTCACCTGAGTGTCGACCCATTTGGCTCCGTCTGGGTGGTGCTCAGTTCTGCCGTAGAAGTGCACAGGGCGCATGTACTCGGGGCGGGCCTTCTCCCAGGGGTTACCGTACCTCAGCCAATCATCAGCCTCCTCAACCTGGACACGGAGACAGTGACCTCAATTAAGATCGCTATATCCATATTTGAAATGAACCTGAGGCCTTTGAGAGTGCGTTTTCACCCATATTTATGTATATATATTTAACATAAATGCACAATAGACAAAGATCAGACCTGCCATCCATTGACAATTTTCTGATTGAAGATGCCAAACTCATATCGGATACCGTAACCGTAAGCAGCCAGGCCCAGGGAGGCCATGGAGTCCAGAAAACAAGCTGTAAATATCCACAAACAAACACAACAGGAAAAATCAATGACTAAATCAAACAACAATTATGTTTGCAGGGTGTTGTTGAGTTTACCTGCTAGACGTCCCAGGCCACCATTCCCCAAACCTGCGTCCTCCTCCATATCCTCCAGCTCCTCCATGTCCAGACCCAGCTACACAAACAACCTCACAGTTATTACATACACAGTTCATATTGAAGCATGTTTGGCTCATGTGATTCTGATGAGTGTGACTGGACCTGGTAGGTGGCCTCGTCACAGGCGTTCTCCAGAGCCAGGTTGACCATAGTATTCTGCAGCGTACGCCCCATATAAAACTCGAGAGAGATGTAGTACACTCGCTAAAAGGGGTAAGCAAAGCACAGATAAACCAACATCACAGCAGTATTATGGGAGCATATCTGGCACAAAAGGGACAATATCTTTTCAAAGTAATGTCTTGTTTCTGGCTTTGAGCAATAGTTTATGATTTATTATTTTGTTTCAAAGTGCGGTCAGAGAGCGCTGCCACCTGAGCCTCTGTTTAGCCTTTTGCCATTTAAACATTGTGTTTTTTCCCCTCCCCATGGAGAGGACACAAGCTCTGAGACAGGGAGGAGAGAGGGGGGCATAGGGGTTGGACAGCCTGCTATTGGTGTTACATAACAGCAACATTTTGGCCTGGGCCAAAATAGCTCCTGTACAGGTCACCATAAAGGTCAGGCGTGCCTTACGCTCAGGCCATTGTGGAGGAAAAATCTAGTAACAAAGTTATTACAGTGTTTTGAATTGTCAAAAAATTGAACCAGATGACACAGACATCATAAGAAGCCTTTGGGGAGGGATGAATTAAATATGACTGCATGCTCTAAATCTGATCTGACTTCTTACTCTGTTGTCATCTAATTATGGTAATTAGCTGTTAGCAACAGCACAAAAAAATACAATTTCAGTGAAATTATTGTAAAACATTGGAGAAACCTTACTGTTCCTTTAAGATAATCCCCTTTGTCCTTTGTGTAAACCTGGCTATACATTCAGAGAGATGGTTTGGACTTTTACATGAACAGAGTAAGCTAACATATATCTGCTGACTGCAATGAAGAGGTGCTATGATGAACACTGCAGAGCAGAGATGCAGGCTTTAGGACTCAATCTCTTCAAGTCTACTTCCTGACCCTTTATAATAATTTGCAGAGTTTTGTGGCTGTTTCTTGCAAGAATATGTCAGAAAATGCTGCTTCTCTCATTCGTTGCTTTGTACCAGTGTTACTTTCAGTATGGTTCTAGCCTTAGCCTTCTCCATGAACTGCGCTGTGGCCTCAGAGGCAAATGACACAAGCTTTATAGTTAGTCAGAGGAGAAGGTCATGGAGAGGGTTCATGTTTCAACACACCAAGACGTCAGCATACCGCCCAAGTGCTAAGGCGTCTTCCTGAAGTTCAGATATGCTGACTTTTGGCCTTTATAGTTCATGCAGTTATACAGTGCCATTGTTAAACAATCAGAGATCTAGATAAACAGTACTGTAATCACCAAGGTGACTTTGACATATTTGCAACACTCTAGCTTCACATAGAACTAAACACTGGTCATTGATTTCACAACAACGTCAGCACGATACACAGATGTTATATTATATTGGGGTTTTGGCAGAAAGTTCCCGTAGGGTGTAGCTTACGTTGCCTGGTAGTCGACTTAGGTGCATGATGCAAATGTTGTAGTGGTTTTGATTGGTTAGGGGTCTGTTTTTCAATATGAAAAGATTTCTGATTTTCTGAACCCATATTGATCTTGTCTAATTACCAGTAGCAACAAGGCTTTTTGTTGCCAGCCAGAATCATCTATCTATTTCTAATTAACCATGAATAGATTAAATACCATTTTATATTAAAAATAACCAATTCAAATTGCTCGCCCTTTAGAACTCTAAAGAAACAAGAATTGGTCCAGTTGAAGTGAACCAGGCCAACAAGTGTCAGCAGTGCCCATTACCCTCGCTACATGCATGGCACTAATCAAATCCTTGTGGAGTGCATGCTTGTAACTTACTTTGGGGTCTTTTTCATAGTAGTGCTGCTGAGTGCGGATCCATCTCCCAACCAAGTGGTCCCTGACCGTGTGGGCCAGGGCAAAGTAATAATCCCTCTTTGTGGCCACATTTCTGTCCTTGACCAGGGTGAAGTGGAGGTGCCTGTTGAAGTTTGTTTTGAGTTCTGTAACATTTTCCACGCCAGCCAGACCTCGCACTGAAATCTGTTTCTTCCGGTCGTGGTCAGAGAGCGGTTTGGACATGATTGGAGCGGATCAAGGCTCAAGGTGAACAGGCTACACAGAGAGCAGGGACACACAGAGCACCCAAAGCTCTGGCTCAAGTTCCACATTTTAAAGGCACCAATATGAATATTAAGCAGGAGGTGGGGGCACTGCGTAGAAGGGGAAAACGCTTGCGTTGGATTCATTAATAATATATCAAAGATGCAAACCAAATTTAAGGGAAAGATAAAATAAAATAAAAATTCTCCTCTAGAGTTGAGTATCAACCCGTACCATAACAAAAGCACTCGGGTCTTTCAATAGTCAGTATAAGATAGGAGTCAGTTGTTAGTGTTATTCTACCGCAGTTTAAATAATTTCTTTTTTAATTTAACCATAAGGAAATTGGATTCCAATGTTATATAAATGTTCTCATTTCCCTTTGACAAAAACTGCAAGATGCTCATAGAAAAAGTGTATTATGTCAGCTGAAGTGACAACTGAAAACAAGTAATTCTGCAAACCAAACCAATTTTGTTTGTCCCAATGTTTACAGAAACATTTGATCATTTAAATGCTGAGAGCTGATTGGATGAGTGGGAGCTGGTATTCTCTAATTCACTGAAAAAGCTGATCTAACATGGGCATAGGTCAACAATAAATGTATAAACTAGGGATTGAACCAAACAGTTTTGAAATGGATTTTATTACACAGTTATTTTTTGTTCACCAGTTTAAAAGCTTTAAACCACTGCTTTGATGACAAGGAAATGCAGATTTTAATGATGTGTATGAGGATATTGGGGGTAAAGAATAAAAGTTTGTGAAAATAGAGAATCCTTCTTTGAATATAAATTGTTTGTTGATTCAACATTCTGGCTGATAAGCATGGTGTACTCATATCTGTGTCTGGTGAGAGTTCAGATCAGGCTTCGACAGCAGTGCAAAGATAAATAATATGAATAATTATGCATCTAAGTAATCTTTATTTATATACCGCCTTTGACAGACCAGAGACACAAAGCAGTTTTACAATCGTGGGCATTTGTCCTCTCACTCCACACAGAGGTGGGAGCGGGGTCGACAGTACAGGAGGCGCATGCCAGACCTATTGTACATGTTTTTAGAGGTAGGGAAAACCAGAGTACCCAGAGAAAACCTACGCAGGCACGGGGAGAACATGCAAACTCCATTCAGAAAGGCCCTCTTCCGACCGGGATTCAAACCCTGGTCCTTCCTGCTGAGAAGCAAGAGTGCTATCCACTAGGGGTGGGAACCTAAGGGTACCTCACGATACGATACGATACGATACACGAAACAAAGCTCACGATAACGATAATATCACGATAACGATATCACAATAACGATTTTATCACGATACGACGATTATTGATATATTGGTCAGAAATATACATAATTATATATACATAATATATATAATTTATTTTTTCTTTTTTCAAAATCGATATCGATACTTGGCAAATGCATATCGATAATCGAATCGCGGGAGAAAGTCACACCCCTACTATCCACTCAGCCACCGTGCCGCATTGGTTTTAAATAGCGCTTTTTTGACACTCAAAGACACTTCACATGTTATTATTCTTTCACTCCATATACACTGTGGTGAAAAACTTCTACTACTGCTGCTGCTGCTGCTGCCCTGGGACAGACTGACATAAGCAAGGCAACTGTTGTATGCCTCCAACCACTAGCGACCATTTACCCACACTCCAGACTCATTCTAGGCAATGTATCTTGTTCGAGTCTCTGCCCTGGTTAGCTTCAGAAGTCTGTCGGGAAATAAATTAGGATAAATTGGGAGGAATAAATAATGATTGAATGTTATTACAGATGAATGACATGTACAGGCTCAGTAGTTAGAATAGTATGATAACATAAGTTGCAGCGAGGACTGGACCACTGACTCTGAAACTATTGAATCCATGTATGTTTATGGCTATCCCTTTTAAACACCTCTATAAATCTATTATATCCATTGCATTCCCCCTTGATTTAACAGTGTGTATCTGAATATACATTTTAAAACTCACTTTATAGCAGTTGTAAAAGTTATTTTACTAGACAAGATCAGTTACAGAGCATTTCTTATTTCCGTGTGCTGATACAGAGGAAACATGCTGACAATATCTGGCAGCTATAACGCTAACTTATTTTTCTGCTACATGCTGGCAGCAGTGCTCTGGTGGCAGATGGTAATGGTTCATGAAATGATAAGAAAAATAGATTTAGTCCCTCCTTAAAAGCAACACGCAGCAAAGTCAACTACTTATACTTTATAGTGACACTGGAAGCGGTATTAAAAGTTCAGGTCGGCTTGTTACACCTATTTTTCTTAAACTATGCATCAACATGAAAGGATAAGACTTTCTGGTTACATTAAAACGGCAGAATTATTTGTTTTTTTTCCGCACAGCTGCAAGAACCCTGACACGACCAGAGTGGGGCTGTGTAGTCATGTACACCGCAGTAGTGTGAGCACTTATAAACCAGTTATCCAGGGCACATGAGAGGATCACATCTGTGCTCTGTGCTCGGGGCAATGAGCAACACAAACTGAAGCGCACACCAACCCAACTCTATTTTCAGTGATCACTCTATAGCCAAACTATCACCAAGTCCTGGCCTCCTATATATAGAGACTCTGACCCAGTCCCAAAGGCCATGATATTTGAAAGGCTATCTTGTTAATGTCAGCAGGAGCCTCCAGACAACAGTACTACAACCGTAACAAGTGTGGCTTAAGTCGCGAGAGGCAGTGATTTTTTTCTCAGTACTGCAACGTTATCATTATCTCGTTGAAGTGATGTCGGAGCCTTTTGGACTCAAATTGTTTAAAAACTGGGAAACAGTGCTTGTTAGTGTCAAGGCAAAATGCTTTCTTCAGTAAGCGTTGTCTTTGTAAAACATTACGAGTGGAATTATGCTGTCAGTCTATACTCTATATGCAATACTGTTGCAGACGGTAGAAAAAGAACAAAAGAGATAGTTGTCAACAAAATAGGATTCAAGATTTTCCAGAAGTCTTGGCCGCCTTCAGCAAAGCTTCATTTTTATTACTTTTGAAGAATTTATAGATGCGGGTGGAGTATAAAATGCAAAGGACGTTATTTCCTTTTCATGTATGCTTTAAAGTCCTCGGCATGAGGGATGACCCCTAGATGAAGAGGGACCATCTCACGCCACGTGATGCAGATTGGAGCTGGCGTGCCCCTGATTTGTCCATTATGATGAGCAAATTATGTTCTTACATGTCTACTGGCTGTTCTGTCAAATGGTACATCAAGCATTTTCAGACCACACAGTGCACTCGCCTCCATAGATTGAAATGAAACATGCAACAACTTTCACAATCATAGCAATCATTTTGGGCTATTTTGGACACTGTCTTAGAGCTTTTGTCAGACCGTCAAGTAAGCCAAGCGTTTTACCACGTCACTATCGTGTAATCATAAAGGAGAAGCAGAGGAAGTTTAATTAATAGATTTTTAGTTTTAATCCTAAGAGAAGATTAAGTCAATTAACTCTGATGTTAATGGTGGCTGTGATTGGCTGGGAGTTATTACCGAGCAGTTCCGTCTGCCTCACTGTCATATCAGCCAAACTTCAGCGAGGCTGCCAGCTGGGATTTAGGTGACAATTCCTCCATGTTGATTCCAATAATTATCTTTTTTTTAAATTCTGAACAGAGAAAGGACCTTTAATATGGAAGTTGAAATGATTACTTTTTCTATATATGACTTTGATTGTATTTCATAATTAAAAGCAGCCTTTCATGTTCTGTTATTCGTTCCAATAAGTAGTACAATTCAATCCGCTGTTGCATTCAAAGAGTATCACAGAATGACTGAAAGATCCCGGCACATCTCACAGGTGCTGTACACGTCTGGCACATCTGTCTGTCCTAAACATCACAAACCAGTCTGTGCCTGTGGGCTCATGCTGTATCAGCCTCTCTGTGGATCTGTGCATCCAGGATCAAGGATCCCTGACATTATAATATGATCAAAATTCACTATGGCATAGAGTAACCTCGTGTAGTTTATGTTTTTATTAAATAAAGAAGCAATCATCAGCTTTGTTTCCTTGATTTAATTCTATTAATGCATTTAAGATATTCATATTTCTTTCAGTATTATTCATTCAATTCATTCAAACGTATTTTCCTTTAGCCCTAAATCACAACAGCAGTGATTTTCCTACACAAGGCAACTCAAAGCGACAGTCGTCTTGGAAGATTTTACAAAGTTGTCAATTTGACAACAACAGATCACAGACTCAAAAAGGAAATGCAATAATAGCAAACTCATAGGAGCCATTGGTCCACATTGATTTCGATGTTAATAAATGTCCATATTTATCCTTTTTTGACACACGTTTCCTACACCAATGTTCTTAAGCTGCATGTAGCTCTTTCCACTCGTCTGCAGAAACTGATTGGAGTTTACAAGGACAGAGGGTTGGCTTTGACATTGCTGCCGGTCTAAAGTGGTCCAGGAGGGCTGCCTCTGGACGCTGCTGCTCTGATGTGATGCTTCAGATGCTCTGTCCCTTACAGACTCGTGCTTGTGCTGATGTGCAGCAGGCCTAGTTAGCTTCAACGCTTCAATGTCCAGATGTTACAGGACTGTATGCAGTTTGCAATATTACTAGTTTCACAAAGTCATTACGATATTACGATTCGTTTTACTCCCTGTGACAAACATGCAGCTCCAAAGCACTGTTTACTGATGTTATCCACTTGCTGGCGTTTAAAATAAACGGTGCTGTGTATTATTGTATTTGCTTTGATATAACAAATGCGTGGTACTATTTATTTGCTTGTGAATTGCTTAAAAAACTAAAGATATTCCTCTTGAAAACAATTCTCAATGTCCAATAAATTTTTTCAACTGAAAATAAAAATGATTTGTTCATGTTGATCTATTATTTGGGGACACATGAAAAATATGTAGATGTAGATGTAAGTGAGATTTCAAATAGGACATACAGTATGAGCAGTAATACAGACTGTCAAT